TTTCAGTTCTATAGGCAACTCTGTCTAGCATTTTCAATTTTGTTTATTCTTACTGTTCTTGACATATTTAGTTCTGTATTCTACTCTGTCAGCTATTTTTAATTCTAAAAGCTTCTCTGTCTTACATTTTCAGTTCTATAAGTTACTTTGTCAAACATATTCAATTCTTTATCCTAATGTTTATGCGCTTTTGTTATATAAACAATTCTGTCTGTCATTTTCTGTTCTATAAACTATTCTTTGGCCTTCCCATAATTCACAAACAGAATTCCCCACTCAAACCTATTCTTTCCAATATCGACACTTATGCCCACAAACTTGCTAAATTCCAAGTTCCTGTTTTAAACTCCCTAACGACTAATGCTTATGCGCTCAAGGGTTCCTTTTCTTTCGCACGTGAAATTTTTCAATTTCAGGATGCCAACCAATAAGTTATGACAAGCTTTGACATTAAATGTTTTTTTATTAACATTCCTTTAGAAAAAAACGATACAAATCCCAGTAACGATAGCTGGATTAAACAAACATATTGCGCAACTACTAAATCTACCTTTAAAAGAAAGCCATTTTGTCTATAACGGTCAGTTGAATGATCAGATAGATGGCGGTGCGATAGATTTACCACTAGGACCCTCGCTGGCTAATATTTTTCGTTGTCACAATGAGCGCACGTGACTGAACAAGTGTACTTCTGACGTTACATCTGCGCTCTACAAAAAGTATGTAGATAATACATTCTTACTCTTCCATAACTGTGAACGCATTGACAAATTCCTCAACTACTTAAATGCTCAACGCTCTAATATAAAATTCACTTGTGAAATTGAAAATCAATACAAACTTTCGTTTCTTGAGGTTCAAGTTCAAAAACGAAAGAAAGAAAACTTTTACTGGTTTGTACACACGTTTTGAAAGCTTTCTGCTAAAATCATTAAAACTAAACTTAGTCTTAACTCCTCTTCACGGGCCTACTCGATCTGCTCGGGTTATATTTCTATTCATAACGAAATAACTTTCCTTTGTGACACCTTAAAAAAAAACTGGGTATTCTTTATCCTTACTAGAAACTTAGCACGTAACTATCTTAGTAAGAAAAGAACTCCACCAAATAATACCCAATCATGTTCCAAGTTTCCTCTAACACTTGTTATTATTCCTTACCTTAGAAAACAAAGTATTATTGTTAAAACCCAACTGAACAAACTATTCAGGTTCTTCTACCCACAGATTAAACTCTGTATTGTCTTCAAATCGTCACTTCGTATTAATATCTTTTTAGAACCAAAGGCATTTTACCTTTACTCTAATGAAAGTTCAAAGGTCATATATAAATAAACATGTGGTAGATGTAAATTCACGCACATAGGCAAGACTTCTCGCCATTTACAAATACGCGCCTTGGAACACATAGGAGTCTCTAACAGGACTTAAACTTCAAGCTCCACCTAACTCTTCTATATATTCTAACAACTTATATTCTTAGAAAACTTTTGTATTCTAACTTTTGGATATAATGATCACGAACTGTTGATAAAAGAAAGTCTACTTATTATGAACGAAAACCCAATCCTTAATACAAAATCTAAACTCGTTCCCCCTTGCTTTATTCAAATACCTCTCCCCTTTTTTTCTTTTTTTTTAATTGAATATTTTATAATTTGCTAACACTAATCATTGTATTTTTATATTAGTACTTGTTCAATTTGTTATTTCCATAGATTTGCTGTAGATGAAATATATGTAATTCCAAAACGTTCATTAAAGATGCTTACCATTTTTCCGTGGCCCTACTATTTATTATCAGACTTCGTTTCCCACCAAATGTATCAATTGCTTATAAATTACTCTGTCTGACATTATCAGTCTAAAAGTTACTGCGTTAGACATACTCATTTCTGTAAACTGCTTTCTTTGATATTTTCAGTTCTCTATGCTGCTGTCTATGAAATTCAGTTCTCTGACATTTATAGCTTGCTATGCAACCCTGTCTCACATTTTCAGATCTATTATTTACTTTTTATGACGTTTTCAGTTCTGTATGCTGCGCTTACATTTTCAATTTTATTAAATACTCTGTCTGACATTTTCAACTTTGTTTGTTACTCTGACATCTTGAGTTCTGTATACTACTCTGTATGACATTTTCAGTTTCATAAACTATTCAGTCTGACGTTTTTTGTTCAGTACGCTACACTGACATTTTCAATTCTATAAACTACTCTCTTTAACTTTTTCAGTCCAGCATTTTTTTTTTCTAGTATGCAATTCTTAAGGTTTTTATTTTCTCATTCCTTTATGACAGTCTAGCATGGCCTGGTAGTTTCGGCACTCGACTCGCAATCTGAGAATCGCGGGCTCAAATCCCCGTTACCGAACATGCTTTCAGGCGTGGGGGCATTATAATGTTTTCGTCAATTCCACTATTCGTTGGTAAAAGAGTAGCCCAAGAGTTAGCTGTGGATGGTATTGACTAACTGCCTTTCCTCAAGTCTACCACTTCTAAATTAGGGACGGTTAGTGCTGATAGCTCTCGTGTAGCTTTGCGTGAAATTAAAAACAAACCAAACTAAACAATTCTTTCTGATCGGCCCTTTGAGAGCATTTTAGAGGTAATTCGTTGTGTCAAACGAGTTTAGATAAAGACTTACATTCCTGATTTAGCCATTGTGTTTATTAACCACTGACACCGAATTTAATTGAATTAGAGGCGATCGATACTCATGATGTTTCTTTAGTACAGGAAGCCCTTGTAGGTGTTATCCGACTACCTTATCTGCCTATTTATCTATATATATTGAGTAAGCTTTTAAACGCTCCTTTCAATGAACAGTAGTTTAAACAAAATGTAACCTTAAGTATAGGCATATCATACGTAAAAACACTTCGAGAATCCATAACTGCTGACATATTCTTACGTAGACTTTACTTATTCATGCGATACTGTTTAACTGAACAGTAAGCCTAATGGTTTCTGGGTTTCACCCTGAAAGAACTCTAGCGTTTTAGACAACCTTTTTATGTAATAAACCAAGCATTTGTAAATAGTACAGAGACGATCTAAGTTTAGATAATATAGTTACAGTGTGTAGGGGATTTCAGACAGATGAAAGGCTCGGGTGTATGTGTATATTAAGCCAACTATCCATTTACTGATCTTTGTTAACGTGTACTCGCATTCTAACTTTACCTTGTCTTAAATTATAATGGACTTTTGAATAAAGCCACTTTTGAAAGTTAGTGTTGTTAAGCGCGAAAACGTACCTATATTTACGGTAGGTAAATCAGAATCCGCACCGGTGGATAAAAAGGCGTTGTAGGTCACGTTTCAGAGTTCAGTAAATTAAATTAAATTTTTACTTTCTATCTCTCATTCTTTCTCTTTCATATGTGGTTTAATTAACTTTTAAAGACTGGAGATCGTGGTGGTATTTTCTGTCATTTTGTAGTTTTTGTTCCGAGTTACTCTAGTCAAAATTAATGGAGCAAATAAAATAAATGTTGTAAAATGCCTCTAAACAGTTTTCCAATATGGAAATTATTATAATGTGGTAACTACCTAGCAGAAAAATACACATGCAAACTCCTCACAATACACATGAATCGCCAAAAAACGTACTCTATCTTTGAAACGCCGCGTGCACGAATACATAGCAAACGTGATATCGCATGGCCCTCTCCGAGGTTCAGAGAGAGCTGGGTCACTTTTATTTTTTGATGCCTTTAGCTATAATAAAATTTAAAATGAGAACACATGAAAACAAAATAAGACAATCATTAGCCCAAAAGAAAAGTGAAACACAATTTGAGTATTTAATTTGTATATATATATAATTTGCAGCTCGAAGCTGAGAGTGTGTGTGTGTCACGTTTTGGTCTGATTTGGAGGCACATAAAAAGAAGTCGCGAAAATTAACAAATGCAAAAAAAATGACAAGTGTCTAAATTTGAGACCCCTTTTGAGCTTGAGGCCCGGGCCAAAATAGCTCTCCTGCTCCCCCCCCCTCCATCTAATTGGCCCTATATGTATGTATATATATAAAGTATACCCTCTATACATCAGAAACAGCAAGTAGCATGCTGTGGAATATCGCAGTAATATATATATATATATATATAAATGGTATATCAAAAATTACCTTAATACGATTCCTATCACGAGCTTTAATAAGCTGAGATCCAATTTGTATTTTGAACTAAAACTTTGATCTGCGTTCCATACCCATGAGTGCAGCCACTGTACTGACGGGTGATTAGCATCAGTGGTGGATTAGTAACATTCTTAGCAGGCATGTTGATCTTATGATATCTACATGAAAATAATTGAAATTTTAAACCTATTGTAGCTTAATATCTATCTACACAAGTTAGGGTGTAAAATTTACATACTTACAAATAACATCTTCAGAAACATGATATTTATGTATATGTATATACATATATCATGTTTAAATGAACTATTTTACTTCTAAATGATGATTACTTTTGTCTTATTTTAATACCCTAACCCGTTTTTTAAATTCAGTATTGAAGCTCTGTCATAAATAAAGAAGGCATCCGTTTAAGTAAGGGTTTAGGTGTGTTGTTTTATGTAATATTTCAGAAACGCTTGTTTCTAGTTGTGAGTACAAATAAGTTTTGGTTTGAAAAACAAAAACATAAATTCGTTCAGTGCCGAATATCTAGTATGCCTGGAAAAACCGGTAATAAAGCTCATGGCTATTTATGTAACCACTTCATTTTTTGTTTCATCTACAGGATGTGTCAATTGACTTGAGGACATCGATCTAAAAAATTATACTCTTGTGATTTTGTTCCTTTGTCTTGCTAGCGATCATGTGGCTTAGCATTTAAACAAAGCACGCGACGAGGTACCCGTCACAGCTGCTCGTGAAGTCTTTGCATAGCCCTATGAACGAAGGGCGTTATAAGAGGGGGCGCTACAATCTCCGTGTTGCTATCGAAGTGGCATAGAACAGACTTAGAGTGCAGAGAAAGTGGCACCTCAAACAGGACAGACGATCATCTCTGCATGGGACTTGGAGCTCGAAAGTGAGAGAAAGATTGTGTGCTGTGTGTCACATTTAGTGATTAGACACAAAACAGAGCCCAACAGGTCGTGGAAATACTGTTCATAAGGTATTTTAGCGAATCCTTCTGTAAAAAACAAGAAATTAAATGTACTGTTAAATAAAAAAATTCTGAAGCAGGGGACTGTGGGTAATAACCGTTTAAAAAAATTATTTATTTCGGTATTCTACAAGTTCTACTTTAGCAAACATTACAGTACGATCTGTTGATTATTAATTATTTAGAAAAGAAAATTACGGTGTTTTTTGTTTCAAAAAGCGACTAACAACACTTTGAAAGTGTTGAATCAGTTGAAATTTGATCGAAAAGTCCCGAACGATAGAGGCAATTTTACCGTTTCGCATAACAAGTGTAGTGATCTGGCGAAAGGGAAGATAACTGTTGATATTTGAATAATATAAGTATATAATATCATCTACAGCCATCTGAATCTCGGATGAATGTTTGGATGAACAAAATAAATAAATCGCCTAAAGGAAAGAAGAATAACTAGGTAAGCGAACCTTCAAAGTTGAAAATTTTATCACTGGGTAAATTTTATTGAATTTCACTTGTTAGTTTGTATATTTACTTATATATATATATATATGTGTGTTTGTGTGTGTGTGTGTGTGTTAACATACTTATAGAAACACGTTGTAGATAAAGGTATTAATAATTTAGTTCAAGAGCCATGTGTAATGTAGTGTTACTTTAAAGAGACAATATTTAATGTTTTACTGTTTGTAATATTGAACTTTTATAATTTATGCTGATAACCCTAGGATGCAGAAAAGTCAGATATTAAATATCCTTGAACTATTATAAAGAAAAGGTTGAACTGGTTATCAGTGGATGCCTATCGTTTTTAAAGAGTAGTTACTGGGTATTAGACCAAATTCTAACATGTGACTGAGCTTAATTATCTCGTAATACTGAATAATGTGACCTATTCTTGCCACTGCACCTCTTCCTTTTCTTCTTACAGAGGTTCTAATCTATTATTCGCGTGATCTTAAAAATGAAGCTTTTTTCTTCTTCTTCATAACGAATGTATAAATAATATACGACATTGAATATTTGCTTGCACATTAATGTAGGCATTCTCTGGAAAATTCAGCTTCACGTATGCATCTGTTAACATTTATATGAATTGGTCAAGAATCAAAAAATACTATAAATCATTTCCAAAGCCAAGGAAATACTCCGTTTAAAAAAAAGGGCATTTTATTTATAAGGTTAAGATCAATAGTAGAAGTTAAGTTTGTGGTATATCATTTGATGCTTTCTGGAATCTCCAAATGCCGTACGAATTTAAAAGGGTTACTTTGTAAGGACGATTTGCATATCCTAATGTAGTGGTGCGTCACCACAAATGCGAACCTGGCGCCTTGTGTAGCATCTATATATTTGGCTCACGGCATAATCCCGCCCTTTCGATAGTGCATGGCCGCCACTCTTAGAATTATGGCTTGAGAAATATGCCATACCCTTTTCCTAGTAAAGATACTCAGATTGAGAAATTATTAAACGTCATTAAGCCAAAGTACCAACATTTTGAAGAAGAGACTTTTCAGTGTTCTTTATATAAACGAAGAAATTCATACAGAAGACAGTATTATGACAGTTTTTATGACAGTAACGGGTCACAAAACCATACCCCAAATCAATCAGCAACAACTTCTTCACCTACGAAGTGAAAGTTTTGGTTGCGAAAGAAGGTCCTCCGACTTCCAACAAAATCATTGTGATGAGTATGAATGTATATCATGATATCGTTAATAAAATAATAAACAAGAATTTCAAATTTACAAAACCTCGAAAGCCAAAAATTCACACCTCTAAATCAACGGTTACTTCTCTCATGAGAAAAAAGATGGACGAAAAAACTAGAGTCGCAACAGTCCCATTCGTCCACATATATTTCACCCACTCCAATACAGCTCCAATAAAAAAAATTTTGTCTTTACTCTGCTGTCTTGGAAGACGACGTCTACGCACATTGGAGACTCTGTGGAAAGATAGTCATGATACGTGGCCCAAGACTGACGTTGGTATCCTTGAAGAAACTTGTTACAGCTGAAAGTACGGAGTCGTACAACAATACGTGGTCACGACCGTCACATGGAATATAATTAGATGTGGAAAAACTATTCCAGGAGCAGGGGTCACCTGAAACATCGTTCTTATAAAATGCGATTAATTGTCAGTTGCCGACTGTTAAGGTATAGTAATAATTTACATGTTGTAAAATATATGATTCAATATGATACAAAACTAGAAATCGTGAAACAAAATTCAAGGTTGAAAATTAGAAGTTTAAAATTTTACTTCTTTAAAATAACAAAGGCCTGCGATGGTTTTATTGCCTTAAAATCCCATAGTAATTCCTGTATGCTGAATCCGAAAATGATATCAACTTTTCTCCATCAAGTACAGATTTTTCACAAAACGTCATATTTACTTTTACATAAGTGAATCATTCTCATTGAAATCGCGTCACATTTTGCTATGCTTAAAATGTTGACAACCACTGGCTATAGATTTCTCTAGACCAATCGCGACGTGAGAGTCTTATCGATTGTTCTAGAACCAACGAGAAACACACCGCTAGTATATAAACGGTTATTGGGCCGCATGCCGTGTCATTTTTAGATAGTATTTGTTTGTGAGTGCACTTTAAATTTTTTCTTTTCTTTAGCAATAAAAGGTTGTGTAAATGACCCAAACATATTCTGTTATATTTGTGGTAAATTTGTTGTAAAGAAATAAATGCAAAACATTACAGAATTTCTCAAAAAAGCGTATTTTGGAATAAAATTTGAGGACAAATCATGGGCTCCGCACAATATTTGGACCGTTTGTGTCAAATAGCTGAGACAATGGACTAAAAGTAAGAAAATGTCTTTGCCTTTTGGAATTCCAATGGTCTGGCGTGAGCCTAGAAACCACGGAAATGACTGCTATTTTTGCTCATGTAACATGCAAGGCTACAACACTCGAAATACAAAGGAAATTTCTTAACCGAGCCTTCAATCTGCTATAAGACCTGTTGCTCATGGACCTGATGTACCTGTACCTACTCCACCGGAGACTCTTCACACAGTTTCATCTGATATCAATAGAAATGATGTTGGAGATTGTTTTCATCCTGAAATGTCTGGTGAACCACAATTTTTCACACAAGGTGCACTTAATGATTTGGTGAGAGATTTGGGCCTTCCAAATGATTCTTCAGAGATTTTGGAGTCCAGACTTCGGACTAAGAACTTACTATCTCCAGGGTCATAATTTTACTGGTACAGAAATCATGAAAAAGAGGTTTATTCCATACTTTTCGCAAGAAGGTTCACTCGTTTATTGCAACAATATTGCTGAATTAATACCAATGCTAGGAGCTGAAGCCTATCAACCAAGTGAGTGGCAATTGTTCATTGATTCCTCCAAAAGAAGTCTAAAAGGTGTTCTCCTTCACAATGGTAACATATATGCATCTGTTACTATTGCTCATTTGAACTTCTTAATAAGGTCAAATACAAAGAACATGGTTGGCTACTTTGTGGAGACTTAAAAGTCCTTTGTATGTTGTTGGGTCAACAATCCGGTTATACAAAGTTTCCATGTTTTTTGTGTGAATGGGACAGCAGAGCACGAAATAAGCACTGGATAAATAAATAATGGCCACGCAGAGTCAGCATGATACCAGGATCGAAAAACATTGAACGAGAAAGTTTGGTTGACACAAGGAAAGTCCTATTACCTCCACTTCACATAAAACTGGCTTGATGAAGCAGTTTGTAAAGGCCTTAGATAAAAATGACATCTATGTGAGCAATTCCCATCTCTTTCAGAAGCAAGACTTAAAGGAGGGATTTTTGTTGGGCCTCAGATTAGGAAGTTAACTTCGGATGAACAATTCGAAAGGACAATGAGGAAAGATGAAAAAGAAACGTGGATTGCCTTTAAAGATATTATTGACAAATTTTTAGGAAACAACAAGAACCCAAATTACGAAAATATTGTCAATAACATGCTCGATAACTTCAAAGAGTTGGGTTGTAATATGAGCTTGAAAGTTCATTTCTTACACTCACATATTGACTATTTCCCTGAAATTCTGTGTGTCTTCAGCGAAGAACAAGGGGAAAGGTTTCATCAAGACATCAGAGAAATAGAGAAGAGGTATTAGGGAAAGTGGATTGAAGGTCATTGAAACGCAATACATAAATGAAAGACCATAACACGTAGTTTTGAGACTAAAAGACGTAGATTTCACAAAAAAATCAGGATGAATATTCATTTGACATCAATGTTCTCTTTTCTTCAGCTTGTTTTTATTTTTAGCAAACATAATAACAAATAATGTTCATTGTGGTAAACGAAATAATAATTTGATCTAAGGAAGAATTTTTTTTTTCTTCCCGATTTGTAAAAGATCCTTATGTTATAGAAAAAAATTAATATTATTTTTGAAATCTGCATAGCTGAGTTATGGAAAATCCGTTATTAAAATCAAATCAACTTTATGAAGTTTAAATTCGCAAGCCTGTGTAGTTAGTGATTCGGAATTACAAGGACACCTTCATCATTGAAAAATTGCTGATCTGCCTAACTCTCTATCAGATATAAAATATACTCCCAACACTCACAATACTGTACCTGTTTTGAAAGCGAATATTAACCATGATTTCACAATTGCTTGTTTGAAGTAAATGCCGATGCTTTTAGCTGGTTAAAATGTATGACGTCACCAATTCATTTTTATGTTGAAGTAGTACATACTGTATCACAAACTTTTTTATCCTTTTGCTGGGAAATTATTTTCGTCTCGATATATTTTGTTCTCAAACTGAAGCCCCCAGTGGCTCAACGTTAAGTCTGAAGGATGATAATACTAAAAATCGGGTTTCGATACCTGTGGTGGGCACAGTACAGCTAGCCCATTGGGTAGCTTTATGCTTAACTAAAAACAAATTCAAACTGAAAAATTCGTTTAACGAAATCTCATTCTCAAAATTCTCTGGACTTTAACTAACAAAGTTAAAGCCAGACGACGCCTACCTGAAGAGCTTCAATTTTCTGTTGGCTGTAACTAGTATAAATTAATTAAAAGAGAACGTGATTAGACATATGGATACTCTTTCTCTCTGTTGTTCATCACAACTCTCAAATTGAAAATCCTCGACAAATGTTTCTTTTTTCTTTTTCTGCAGTGTAATCGCTCGTTTGTTTTGAGTCTGAAAAGTTGAAAGCTCCTTCCAACTTGTGCTTTAGTCAGCCAGTTGTGATCAGTAAAAGTTGTAAGTTATAATGTACAGCACACAATATGAGAGTTTTATGTTCTTAAATTCACTTCATAAAGCTTATAGCTGGTAATATGCTTTCTGATTTAAATGGTCGGTTTTTATTCTGCTTTTATATTAATTTTTCCTATTATTTTATTTTCCTTAGAAGTATTACTTGATGAGCTAATTGATTCAACCTATTCACACCAAACATATTATTTACAATAAA